AAAAAACCTTTTAGAAATAGTCTCCTGTCGATTTTCGCAGTGGAAAGCCATCATTCCCTTTCAGAGCTGGCACAGAGTAGGCTTAATAAATATTCTAGGAAACGAACGAATAGCACTCTTGTGAATGGGTTCTCACCTTCTGCTTTTATTGCCTGGTTATTTGTGTTTACATCTCTTCTCCCTCGCCACCCTGAAAGTTCCTGAAAGGCAGAAATCACGCGCGTCTTTGTTTGGTCACATCTTCTAGCCCGTGGCTTACACCCAGCAGGTGTTCAGCTGTGGAATTGTTGAGCGAATGGGGCATCCTATAGAGTCAACGGTGTGTCTATTTTTCAACATGAGATAAAGATTCTGGATGCCAAGGATTATTTGTTAAACCCACTCCTTAAGTCCTTAAATTCATCTAGAGAACTCCCTGAAAGCCAAGGAGAATCATGATATCAGGATCAAGACTTGGTTCTCCAGGCAACTCTGCCCCTACTTGGTGGCTATCACATATTTATGCCAAATCCACTGTCTAGTCCTGAGAGCACTGTTCTAGGAGTCCCCGCTTTGCAACTAGCTGTGGAGCCTTGGGCAAGTCACTCACCATTAGTTCCTTCGTCAGTGAGACAAGGGGGCTAGGTTGTTTTCAGCGTGATGTCACCATGATCTCTAAAATGCCTCTGATAATGAATGTCAGTTTGGAATATCATGTTGAAAGGTAACTGTAGAACATTGCAGAACTTTAATTTAAAAAAAAAAAATCTCTATTGATAATCAAATCAATACTGAGCACCTGGGAGAGAGGAGCCAGTGATTTGGGCTCCACTTTATTCACATTTTTGTCTTTTTCTCTGATCAAGAAAAAAACTAAATTATAATAAGCAACTTCCAGACTTTACCAAGGACCACAGAATTTTGGAAGGATCTGTAGAGATTAGAAGCAATTCCTCTGCAGTAAACTATTTAACAGAATGAGATAAAAATCGCTTGAGTAAATGTGTTTCCAATTAAGGAAGGGCGTGGAGCGGGATCTGGGCTTTTCTTCCTCTCCTGCCCCTTCCACGGTTGGGAAACCTCGGGTTCGTCCAGCTTATTGTGAGCTCTGCAGACAGCAGGGGGCTGAGCGGCCATCTCTAAGCCAAGGACGTGGCTCTCCCTGGCCTTCCAGAATCACCTTTCACCAAACAGGACCCCTCCTCATTTACACATAAAACGGGGTAACAACGCACTCAAAGCCTAGTATTGGAACCGTTTAGTTTCGCTTCTGTCGCCCCCAAGGATCCCTGGAGATGCAGTGATTAAGAGCTTGGCTGCTAACCTAATGGTCTTCGGTTCGAACCCACCAGAGCCACCAGCCGCTCATGGGAGAAAGATGTGGCAGTACGCTTCTGTAAAGATTACAGCCTTGGAAACTCTAAGGGGCAGTTCTACTCTGTCCTATTGGGTCGCTACGAGTCCGAATCGACTCGACAGCAATGGGTGGTTCTGCCGCCCCCACTTGACGTGGTGCAGCCCTGAATCTCCCGAGCTTCCAGTAGAAAAGTCCACTTGGGGAGCTCCAGGCTACTGCACTGCTGGGGGCAGAAATCAACCTCCCTGGACCCCCACTTCAGCCCCTCCCAATACAGGGAAGGTGACAGCTTCCAACCCAGGAGCCAGATGGCCTGTGTGACCTTGAGCAAATTGTTTGACCTCTCTGTGCTTAGGTTTCCTTATCTAAATGGAGATAACAGTCCCTACCTGGTGAGTTTGTTGAGAAGATTAAGATTAGAAACATTAAAAATATTAACGAAAACTATCATTATTTGGCTAAGGAAATCAGAGAGGGTACACTTGAAGAAATTGAGGTACATCCATTTCCTATCTTATAAGAAACGGGATCAGAAATGTGTCGCTGGCTTTCCCTTTTTACCGCCCAAAAATGCCCCAGCGCCAGCTTTCCCTACGTGAGGGGGAGGATCTTCTGCTGGTCTTGGGGCCGAGGGGGAGGAAGTTCCCCGTTGGAACTGTGGACCGTTTCCCTAGAGATAGTCAACTCGCTTAGGTCTGAGGGCAGAGGTCACCTCTTCCGAGGAGCTTTCCCTGCCTTTCGTACAGAAGCAGCCCTGCAACCCTTGGCAGCATGCTTTTCGGTGTTATTTCCAGGTGGCATTTGATGTTTCTCAAGATGGTCTGCTTTGCGTGTGGTTGTCTACCTGTGTGGGCTCCTGAAGAGCCGGGAGCTTGCCCGACGTGCTCTCCACCACATCCCAGCCCCTGGCACAGGGACGGGCACACAGTAGGCCCTCAGTAAATATCCTTCAGTCACGTGGACATCAGGGGGCCTCTGCGACCCCCGGGGCTGAGGGCGGAAGGGCCAGGAGGAGCCCCCTCGGTACTAACCGCAGCAGAACACCTTGCCCTCCCTCGACCCAACTGCCACCAGACCTGTTAGTTTTGCTTCCAAAGCGCTTCCTCCAGCTGCCTTTTTCGCCGCCGAGGTTTGCAGAAGTGCTAAAGACCTGCAAGAACCCAGTGCACGCTGGGCTCTGCGTCAGATGGCACTGGAGCCAAAGCCCTCGGGCGCCGTGACCTCAAAGCAGGGTCCCGCCAGCCAGAAGGGTGCGATCTGGGGCGGGGGATGGTGGGGAGGGGTGGGGGGACCTGGCTTTGCCTCTGCCCAGGCGGGAGGCGCGGAGGTGTAGATTAGTGGCTGCGTCAGAAAACGTCCGTTCGACACAGGAAGGAGGGAAGGAGGCCGGAGGTGAAGACAACATGCAGCAGCCCTGACAGATCTGATAAAGAGGAAGGAAGCAGACAACGCTGCTGAACCGAGCTGACAGCTCCCCAAACTGACGGAGGTCCTGCAGCTGTCACAGCCTTGTTTGCAGAAGTGGGCCTAAAGGAGGTGAACTGGCGCCCCCTGCTGGTCATTTTAGAACCGCACCCATCTGGTGAACGCGAGCAAGGGCTTTAAGGTCAAGGGCGCCGCTAACACCTCTTCCAGCAGAAGGACTTGTCTGGGCCTGGACCCTCTACTTTCTGCCCCAGAGAAACAACACAAGAATAGATTTGCCTCAGTTGGAGCTCTGCTTACCTGGCAGCCCAGTTACCTTGGCCATCAGAGGTAAGGGAGCAAGTCTATGCTAAAGAGAAAAGCAGAAAACACTTTTAAAGATTACAGGGCACACTCGCACATTGCTACATTCCCTGGCTTCTACTTTTGGCTCTGTGGCTTACTAGCTATGTGACCTTGGGCAAGTGTCTTAACCTCAATTTCCTTATTCATAAAAGGAATACTAATAGTCTCTACCTCATAGGATTGTTAGAGAGACTAAGTGAAGTAATATATGTAAAGTGTTTAGCATAGCTCGTGGCACATAAACACGTTTGTTAAATTAAAACTTAAATTCCTATGAAGGTTATAGACTTGTTGCACTTACTGTAAGTAACTGGTTCCTTATTCTGGGGATTTTCTTGCTATCTATTACTGATTTCTAGTTTAATTCCAAAGGAGCCCTGGTGGTGCAGTGGTTAAGCCCTCAGCTAACTGAAAAGTTGGCAGTTCAAACCCACCAGCCACTCCTCGGGAGACATATGTGGCAGTCTGCTTCCTTGAAGATTTAAGACCTGGGAAACCCTATGGGGAAGTTCTCCCCTGTCCTACAGTATCTATATAAGTCAGAATCGACTCGACGGCAATGGGTCTGGCTTTTTTGGGAGTTTAATTCTACTGTGGTCTGAGAATATATTTTGTATGATTTTAGTTCTTTGAAACTTGTTGAGACTTGTTTTATGGACCAGCATATAATCTGTTTTGCTAAAAGTTCCATGTCCAATGACCATTTTACAGTTGTTGGATATGTTTGCCTTGTTAGATAACGAGTCAATTTTCAACCCAATGTGACAGAGTAGAACTCCCCATGGGGTTTCCTGGGCTATACTCTTTACTGGAGCAGATCAACAGGTCTTTCTCCCTCAGAGCTGCTGGGTGAGTTCAAACTGCCAACCTTTCAGTTAGCAGCTGAGCACTTAACCGTTGTGCCACCAGGGCTCAGTGGATATCTCCATTGCCGTGGAGTCGAATCCGACTCATAACAACCCTATAGGACAGAGTAGAACTGCCCCATAGGGTTTCCAAGCAGCAGCTGGTAGATTCGAACTGCAGACCATTTGGTTAGCAGCTGAGCTCTTAACCACTACTCCACCAGGGCTCCTTAGTGGGTATAGTGTTCTATATATGTCAATTTGATGGAGCCCTGGTAGCAGAGTGGTTAAGACCCTTGGCTGCTAACCAAAAGGTAGGCAGTTTCAATCTACCAGCTGCTCCTTGGAAACCCTATGGGGCAGTTCTACTCTGTCCTGTAAGGTCACTATGAGTCAGAGTTGACTCGATGGCAATGGGTTTGGTTTTTTTTGTTTTATATGTCAGTTAGGTTAAATTGGTTAATTGTGTTATTCAAATCTGCTATATGCTTATTGGTTTGTTAGTTTTGCTTGTTTGTTTTTTCCTGCTGTTCTGTTGGTTAGTATGTATTTGTCCATTTCTCCTTTAGCTTGGTCAGCTTTTGCTTTATGTATTTAAAGCTATGTTATTAGATGCATAGAAAATTAGGACTGTTCTATCTTGCTAGGAAGTAAACCTTTTATCATTACAAAATGTCCTTTATCTCTAGTAATACTTGTTGCCTTAAAGCCTACTTTCTATGATGTATATTCCATCTGCTTTCTTTTGTTTACTGTGTCAATGGATTAACTCTATTCCACCCTTTAATTCCAACCTTTCTGTGTCCGTAAATTCTGTTGTAAATAGTTGTGATTTTTTTTTCCAGTTTGACGCTCTTTCACTTTAATTGGATAGGTTAATCCATCACATTTAACATAATTCCTAATATAGTCTGGTTTATAGCTAACCTATTGCTACTCTTTCAGTTTGTCCTAGCCTTTTTTCCACTTTGTATTATTTAGATTTTTAAAAATTCCATTTCCTCCCTTGAATCTTAGATTTTGGGCGATTTATTCTTATAAAGATTTTAGTATTTACCCTAGAGATTGCAATATTCATCCTTGATTTCTTTGTCTTTTTTATATTAGTACTTTTACTACTTCCCGAATAAAGGATTTTAGAAGTATTTAACTCCACTTCTTTCCATCCTTGTTACATAAATGTTAATATATATTTGTTATAATTTACTTCTGCATTTCTTATAAATCTTCAAGACATTATTTTTATTGTTTAAATAATCAATGTTCTTTTGTATTTGCTACATATTTACCCTTTCCAGTGCTACAGTTCTATTCTATCTGGAGTCATTTTCCTTCAGGCTCAAGTACTTTATCTCTTAAAGCACAGGTCTTCTCTCAGCTTTTGTCGGTCCAAAAATGCCTTTATTTTGCCTTTACTTTTGAGGCTATTTCCACCAAGTACAAAATCCTAGACTTTTGTTTTGTTTCCCCAGCACTTTAAAGATTCTGGCTTCCAAAGTTTCTGCTGAAGTCTGCCATTAATTTTATTGCTGCTCCTTTAAAAGTTATGTTACTTTTCTCTGGCTAGTTTTGAAATTTTGTCTTTCAGCAGTTTGACCATGGTATTTTTAGGTGTGGTTTCTTTGTTTTTATTCTACCTGGAGTTTGCTGAGCTTCATGAATCTGAGTCATTAGTTTTGGAAAATTCTGAGCTATTATCTCATTAAATATTGCTTCTGTCTCATCTCTGGAACTTGAATTACTCATGTCTTTAGACTGTGTCTCACTTGTCTCTTATGCTCTATTCTTGTTTTTTGTTTTTGCATTCTTTTTACTCTTTGTGCTGTGCTTCAACTTGGATATTCTCTATTGACTTCAAACAGTAATTCTGTCTTCTGCTGGGCCTATTCTGCTTAAGTCCATCCAATCTAATTAATTTCAGGTATTTGTTTAGTTTTTAAAAAATAACTTTATTGAGGTATAATTTACATACTATAAAATCCACCAATTGATAGAATTGTGCAATCAACAGCACAATTCATGTTTACTTTGGACATTTAAATTGAATTTATTCAAACACAAAGAAGGAAACTCATATCACTAACTTTGCCAATCAACCTGTCAATACACTGATTATCAAAACCTTTAGCAAGGCAAAATTGCCCCCTTCTAATTTTTTTATTGAGATATAATTTACATACCATAAAGTTCACCCTTTTAAAGTATACAAGTCAGTGATTTTCAGTATATTCCACAAAGTTGTGCAGCCAGCCCCACTAATTCCAGAACATTTTCACCACCCCAAAAAGAAACCTCAGTTCCATTAGCAATCACTCCCCATTCTTTTCTACCTCCAGCCCCTGGCAATCGCTATTTTGTCTCTACAGATTTGCCTATTCTGGACATTTCATATAAATGGAATCATATGTGACCTTTTGTGTCTGGCTTCTTTCACTTAACATAATGTGTTCAAGGTTCATCCATGTTGTAACATGTATCAGTACTTCATTTTATTTGTTGAATAGTATTCCATTGTATGAGTATACCACATTTTGTTTATTTATCAGTTGATGAATTATTTAGGTTGTCTCCACTCTATTATGAATAATGCTGCTATGGACATTTATATACAAGATGTTGTTTAGACATTAGTTTTCACTTCTCGAGTATAAACCTAGGAGTGGAACTGCTGGGTCATAAGGCAGCTCTATGCTTAAAGATTTGAGGAACTGCCAAACTGCTTTTCAAAGTGGCTGCACCATTTTGCATTCCCAGCAGCCATCTATGAGCCTTTCAATTTGTCCACATCCTTGCCAACATCTGTTACTTTATTTTTTATAGTCATCTTAGTGGATGCAAAGTGATACCTCATTGTAGTTTTGATTTGCATTCCTCTGTAGGGTTGCTATGAGTCAGAATCGACTCTATGGCTACGGGTTTGGGTTTTTTTTGAATGACTAATTATGTTGAGCATTTTTAATATGCTTATTGGTCATTTGTATATCTCCTTTGGAGAAATGTCTATTCAAATCCTTTGCCTGTTTTTTAATTGGGCTTATCGTTGAGTTCAAATAATTTGTTTATATATTCTGGGCACTAAATCTTTATCCACAACCCGTTTTTATAATATTTCTATCACCCCAAAAAGACCCCTCATGCCTGTCTGCAGTTAATCCCCATTCCCACCCCCAGCCCCAAGCAACCAAGCTGCTTTCTGTGTGTTTGGGGCAGGCTCCTCCCTCTAATAAAATGTTGTCTCCTAAGTATTGTGAGATTGTGGATTTCACTCTGCTTTTCAGAAGCCCTGGGCTTAGCTTCCAGCATGCCATGTGCAGCTCTGGAGTTCAGCAAATGTCCTGTAAGAAAACCAGTCATGTTTGGGGTGCCTCAAGTTTCCAGTTTGCCCTATAACCAAAAGCCTTTTCTGTTTTCCAGTAGAGCCCCTCTCATGGACCAAACCCAACCCCCAGCATGGGCCCTAATATTAGCAAATGCTTTCCTGGGAGAAAATGGCTAGAGCATCAGCTTACCTCAGAAGGGCTTCCCCGCCCTCTGAAATTCCAATTTGTTTAGTCCTTATTGCTTCCTTATTGCTGGTGTTTAAAAATACTATTTTGGTGTTCTAATCTAGCCTTTTCTGGTTGTCGCGGCAGGAGTGTTGTGTTGCTGTGACCTACTATATCCTACCCATCAATTATTGCAAGCTTTTAATAAGTCTTGTTATCTTGTCAGGCCAGTTCCCTTTCTCCCCACCCTGCCACCCCCAGACATATCTTAGCTATATGGGGCATAACTCTTCCATATGAATTTTTAGACTCCTTTTACCTAGTTCCCCACCCACCAAAAAATCCATTGGATTTTGCTGGAAATATATTGAATTTATAAATTATTTGGGGCAGAAGTGAAATCCTTATGCTTTTGAGTTCTCTCTCTATTAACATGGTATGCCTAACCATTGAGCAGATCTTCTATTAGGTTCTTCAATAATATTCTTTAATTTTCTCCATAAACGCATTGCACACTTTTTGTTAGATTTGTTCTAAATACCTTATAATTTAGGATCTTTTTAATCTTTTAAAGCACTTGTTACTTCTTAGAATATGTTCATGTTATAAATTTTTAATGGCTCAAGCAAGTATACATTAACAATCTCCCACCCTTTTTCCTCAGTCACCCAGTTTTCCTGCCCCAGAAGTAACTAATTTCTTTAGTAAGTCTTTAATGTGGTTAATATTAGTATATAGTAATATACCAATTTTGTTCCTCAATTTTGTGTCCAGCAGAATTCTCTTATTTCTAATGATTTGTAGGTTATTCTCTATTTTTTTTATGTATATAAGTCATCTGAAAATAGCAACTGTTTTGTCATTCTTTATTCCTTTTCCTAGTCTTACTGCATTGGCTAGGGTGTCTCTAATAAAGTAGCTGTGGAAAGTAGCTTGATAGCTGTGATAGAGGGCAATCCAGTCTTATTCCTGACTTTAATGAGAGGGCTTCTGTCTTCATGTACAACATTTGCTGTAGATTCTTGGCAGACACCTTTATCCAAGTTAAAAAAAAAGTTACCTCTGGTCCTATTTTGCTAAGAAAGAGTATCATGAAAGTGTTTATCAGATTCTTTTTCTGCACCTGTTGAGATGATCATATGGTTTTTCCCCCTTTAATCTATTAAACATGCTGAATCCTCCACTTGCAGGGGGAAAAAAAAGGTAGTCTCAAATAAAACACGTTTATCCCAAGTTGATATTTATTTTCATGAAGGGGGAAAAAGAAGAACCTTTATGATACTGAAAATATAGTTTTTTAATACAACAGCTGCCAGCAATATACTGGTGTATAATGTTCCGGAGAGATAAAAGAAAATATGAGCATTCTGGCTTGGGGAGTTGAAAACTTCTTCCATGATAAAAATATAAATTTGGTGGCTCCAACCTTAAGAATTTAAAACAGTGGAATAAAAAAAGTCCATATAGTTACTAATGAATGCTTCTCTCTCTTTGAATCATATACTGATTAAAATCAGTGTAAGAAACTGGTTAAGCAATAAACTTAATGAAACATGTATCAAAATGTGCATGGAAAAATACATTTCTATTTCCTCTCATTTTTACTTTGTAGTATTTTCTAAATGGATGTTTTTAGATGCACAGAAATACAAGCTATCTACATGAACTGCAGAGATTCAAAACACAATAGAAGTAAAGTAAAAATGCCTAAATTCTAGAATTTATCAACTTAGTATAAGAATAAATGTCAGAAATCTCTTAATTTTATACAGATTGCTCAAGGATTTAAAAATAAATCTTACAAGCCAAAGTTACTGTGAAATAAGACCTTATTTAAATTCTATCACAAGTTAAAATACTAATAAAAGAAGATAACAGAACTGCATAAAAAATTTTCACTGACATAAAAAAGGGGGGAAGGGATTATGTCAACAGAAACAGTAGAGACCTTTCCTTGGAGAGTAGTAGGACCTTCCATACAGACTCTAATCTCTTCACTGAAGTGGAACAAAAGGGGTTCAAATATTTGAAGGGAAAAATGATTTGGTAGTTGTAGAAACAATATCAGATGATTTCCATTATGTCAAGTACACTACATGAATCACCATGAACTTTAATGTCCCAAATTTCCCAAGGTTTTCAGCTGTGATCTTCCCACAAATATATGATGAAGTAAAAGCATGTTGCAGGATCATCCTTTTTCCTAGCTTTTGGCCATTTCCCAATCTCAATTTCATTTGACTATCTTCCCTGATAATGTAATAAAATCTATCTTTCTACAGATAAAAATAATTCTGCCTTGGTCAAAATCACATAGAACAGCCAAGTGTGACAATCAGTACAAATGCCTTCCTTGACAATCCAGACAGTCAAGTGTACTTAAAAAAAAATACTTAAAAAAAAAAAAACAATGAAAAGAATAGACATCCAAAGTGAAAATAACTTCACAGCTGAGTTTCAGAATGTGTTTTTCATCACTGTATTTTGAGGAATGTAGCTCTTTCCTCCATTTGCCCTCCACTTTGCACCACTTAGTCCACCATTCACCAGAAAGAACAGATAGCCCTTCTCTTGAATCTTTTTCACACTATGAGGCAAGGTTTCATGTCACCTGAATGCCAAGTTACCACTATTTTAAAAGTTAAGTGAAAAGTGATGATTCCTGCCTCTGTGCTGGTGCAGATATAACACTCTCACCCACCGAAGCTGCTGAAATGTAATTCCTTAATAATCTGCTTGATATACCTGACAGCATTTCTTCCTGAAATAAGATAAATCACTGTCCAATATTTAATTAGAGAAAGATGGGTGTCAGAACTTTTGATCAGCAGTAAGGAGTTCTAAGAAAAGAAAGACAAAGGAATCTCCTTGAACCAAATGGATACAATAAGAGCTTTTCTTATCTTTCTATACCAAACTAATTACTGATAGGTAAAAAATGCAGTATGCTTATAAAAGTCAGGCTGCTTCCATAAAGCCAGTGCTTACTAAATGTTAGCATATAAAAGGGGGAAAACATTGCCATTTCAAAGCAAAATACTTAAAATTTCCAAAAACAGCCTATGAGAAATAGCACTTCTTAAACAAGTCAGGTATAAAAATTTACCAAAAATGTATCATAGTCACAACCACAGTCTTTGGAGTAGTACTTAGAAAATCTATTAAAAAATAAAAATGAATAAATACATAGAAACTTTTGTTTATTTTCACCAAGTTTGTCCTCCCCTATTAGAACACAAATAATTCCTGGTTTAGGACTTCCAATTTAAATAAACAGAAATATGCAGAGTGCTACTCCTCAACACAGCTGTGGAAAAATTTAACTCATAGAAGTGCACTGATTGAGATTAGGCAAAATTGTAGAAAATACACACTCATCATAACTACAGTTTAGTTCAAAAGGTGTGAACAACCCTCTATCCAAAGTCTAACATTAAATGGGGGTGGAATGGAAAAGTTGGTGATCTCTGTATTTTACCTTACATTTAGTACAGGATGGGTAATGCACTCTTTAGATTAACTATCTACATTAAATATGCTTTAGAAGCAAAACCTTAGTTTATATCTTGAACAAGTCCACTCTACATTCCTTAGGTTAATTTCTTTAAGTGTTAATATTTACGTTACTAATCATTGTACTGCTATAGCTAAATCAACTAAATATTAGTTTATGTAGTGACACTCAAAAGATCTACAAGCAGCAAAAGTCTATGCTTATCTAAAAAGGAGCTTTAACAATTAAAACAAAATGGAAAAAAGCAATAATGGTCCAAATGAATGGCACTGGGTAAAATACATATACCAAACAACAGATTTAGACAGAGTGGATCAGGTGCCCTCAGCTTCTCTTAGAAGGATAAGATCTTGAGAACTTTTAGCTTATACATAGTGTCAGATCTTAAAATTGGTATAAAGGATAGATGCTTCCAGGCAAAAATAAAAATCCATCTACAAAGCAAAACACCAAAATCTGTAGTGACTTTTCGTAAAAGGCTCTCTTTTCTGGTGGTAGTACATATCCAGGATAGACTAAATTGAAACAGCATATTTCTGATACAGTAGCAATCCTTTCATATACTCTTACTAAATATTATAAAATTCCAAAAATACATAAATATTCCTTGTACCATGCATTATGCACCAGTTTGGGGCGGACTGATGAAGTCATGGCTACTATTTTAACAGTTAAACATTGCACCTCAGAAGTCCTGCCAGGAATACACAGTGAATGGACATATGGTAAGGGCTCCAGAAAGATGGCAAACTACCTCTAAACTGCAAAGTTTGTGACGGAGTGTCCAAATTAGAGGAGAGGAGGAAATGGGTAGGGAAGGTAGGCAGGGCAAGGGAATTTTAAAATACTGCTTAGGAGTGTATATTTTAAGATAGCTACTATACCTTGTCTATCCCTTTATCCTAATCTTGAATAACTGCATGTTCATACAAAATAAAATTTCTACTTTATAGGAAGAGGAGCAGTCTGTTAGGAAAAGCATATTCTGTTAGGGGAAGATGTGAAGACATCTCTACTTTCAGTGCTACTTTACTTAGTAAGTCTTTTGGCTACATCACTATATGCTATTTCAACCTCCTTATCACTGGGACAAGTATTGGTGAACTCATCCCTACTATAAGCATTAGTTAAGTATCTCCAGATGCCAGTCATTCCTTTCGGAATATCAAAGTTGCGATATTTTTTGGCCACCACCTGAAAAACAAGGAGATCAAAAGTTAACAGAGTTATTTTCCATTTCTTGTATATCAGACATATCCATTATTTTAGAGCAAATTATTAATTCTGGAAATCTTTTTTGAGAATTGCTTCTATTTGGAAAGAAGCCTGCTATCTTCGTTCTAACTAGAGGTTTAAATAATGACCAGGACTGCAAGCCACACCAGGGATGGAGGAGTGTGACAGTGATTGCAAATGCCTTTCCTGGACATCCAGCCAGCCAGCCAAGTGTAATCACTGGATAAATACTTCTTAAAACACACATACTATTTTAGACCTCTGTTTTTCTTACCTTAGACCTTTACTACACAACTAGTATTTATTACTATTCTATTTACCAGTGTGCCTAGCACAGTCTCACATAATAAATGCTCGATAAAAATTTTTTTGCCTTGACTAGAAAAAGCTGGATGATCACAGAACAGAATGTGACAATGTAAGTAAGTCAGTGTATCAAATTCCAACTCAAAGTTATCTGTTACATCTTTGAATTTTTATGCAGTCACGGAAAAAAATAATTTCTCTTCCTCATATACCTCAATTTATAAGACACAATTTTCTACTTAACTAACCCTAGGGTGTTTCAACTCTTGTCTAAGCATTGTTAACTCACACTATTTAGGGGTTCCTAGTCAAATATCATAAGGAGCCCTGGAGGTACAAACGGTTAAGCGTTTGGCTGCTAACTGAAAGGCTGGCGGTTCAAACACACCCAGTGGTTCTGCAGGAGAAAGACTTGGCAATCTGCTTCCATAAAGATTACAGCCAAGAAAACGGGCAGTTCTACTCTGTCACACTGGGTAGCTATGAGTTGAAATTGGCTGGATGGCACCTAACAACAACAGTCAAATATCACACCATTAGAAAAGTTTTAAGCATAAATGAAGTGCTATCTTAGTAGAAAGACTATTAGGTCTAATGGCAATTTGACACCACATCCAACAGGCCTACCTTGACAATGTGCAGTTTGGGCAGCAGGTTGCAATCAGCTAATGTCATTTCATTGCCATCCAGAAATTTACGTGTGGAAAACTTAATGTCTTCCATACTATTCTCATCAATTTCATCGGGGAGGGGAGAATTCAGATATTCATCCAGTTTCTGCAGTGTTTTCAAGAGACCCCTCTCCAATGCTGAAAGAAAGATGAGAGTGCTGTAAGAAGGGAACTACGTAAACCTCAAAGTAAAAGCATTACTTTTTCATTTGAAACTGTTTATCAAATGCTTGCTCTGATACTAGGCACTATAAAACAAGACAGATGAAGGTTTCTGTTCTCCTGAAGCTTATTTGCATTGGGGGGTGAAGGTGGTGGAGCAGGGAATGAGACAGACAAATTTATTCAGGTCAACACAGAAATAAGCATGATAGTTTCAGATAGTGGCATCTGTAAAAAACTTGTTAATAACCAAATGTCCCACACGTGAACACATATGGCCCAATACAGTGATGTTTAAACTGGAAAATGGGTGAAAAGAAGCAAACCTATTAAATCTAGGGGAAGAGAATCTTGCAGAGACAGAGATTCTTGCCCTCAATTTTAAATCATGCTCCACCAAGAATATTTAGCACCAAGAATGTATTAAGAAACTCCAATATAAACAATCTAAGCAGAAAACTTTATACTTCAAAGGGTTTCTTTCTGGAGTTCTTACACTATCTTGTAATAAACAAGAAGCACAGAATAGCACAGGAAAAACACAGAGGTCAGATTACAGCAGTTCAGTTTCTCATACTGAAATGGGGGTCCCTTTAGCCAAACAGCCGAAACCCTGGTGGCATAGTGGTTAAGTGCTACAGCTGCTAACCAAAGAGTCGGCAGTTTGAATCCACCAGGTGCTCCTTGGAAACTCTATGGGACAGTTCTACTCTGTCCTATAGGGTCGCTATGAGTCGGAAACAGATTTTTTAGCCAAATAGATTAAGATGTCATGATTGTTATAACTCAGAGAGAAGTGCGACAGAGCCACCACTGTGTATGTGGAAAGTCAAAGTTAGTGACCCTTAGCAGAGAGGAAGTGGGAATGTCATTAGAAAGGAATGATCAATACAGAATAACAACAGACAGATCCTCTATTCTCCCTTTTTATCCTTTACCTTACCAACCCACCTTCACTCCCACCTCCAAAATAGAGTAACTCAAACTGCTAATTACAGTACTTGGCCATAAAAAAAAGTTGATTCCATGAGGTGACTCTATATAGTTACAAGTCGGAATAAAGAATGCTGTTGGGTCCTTTAAGGAAAAAGGCAAAGTTGTAGAAGTTGCATACCAGATATTTCACCAGCAACTTAAGTATGTCTTACAAGTCAGTACCTCTTCTTCTAAATTGTTCCTACCCACTTATCCCTTGTTCCCTTCATGGCAGTCCAGGAAACAGATGATAGACTTGGCTAGGTAAAGGGCTGGAGGCAGAAAAAGGACTGAATGGATTTTACAGAGGTACTTAGGAAATAAAACCAACAGAGCTTAGAAACCAAGGGAATATGGAAAAATGGGAATACATGTATTCAACAAAATAAAAATTGAGCCCCTACTAAGTACCAAGTATTGCTCTAAGCACTGTTAAGTTGACTACTAAATAAAACATTAAAGGTTCCTAGTCACACACAGTTACATTTTGGGACAGTAGGAGAACTAAAGAGAAGCTGATCAACAAACAAACTACTCCCAGGGTTAATGCTGGAACCTTAGTGGAGAAGTAGATTTAGGGAATATGAAAAGGGGTTCAATATACGCTGAGTCTGAGATGCCTGTAAGACATCTGAGCAGATGTGTCCAATAGACAGCTGGATGCCAGTGGCTGGGAAGAGACTGAGGCTAGAACAACATTTTTGGAAGTCCTGAGAACATAAATGAAAATTGAAGCTGTGGGAGTGAATGTATTTGTCTAGCTTTCACTTTGAAGAATATTTCACTGCTTATAGAATTCTAATTCGTTTTCTTTTAGCTCTTTGACGTTCTCATACCATTGTCTTCTGGATTCCATTTTTTCTGTTGAGAATCAGTGCTCAATCTTACTGAGCTGCCATTTTTTAGATCTTGTCTCTAGCTTTCAGCAATTTAAGTAGCATGTATATAGGTACGGTTTTCTTCACATTTGTCCTTTTTGGGTTTTGTAATGCTAGACTCCATGGCTTATTATCTTTTGTCAATTTGGGGAAATTCTTGGCAATTATCTCCTTAAATATAGCTTCTACTCTTCCTGACATTCTAGTTACACATATGTCAGCCCTTTTCCACTGTACCCATATTTATCACATTATTTTCTATATTTTTTTGTCCTTTTGTCTCTCTGTGCTTCCATTTAGACATTTTCTTCAGACCTATCTTCCATGTCACTAATTGTTTCTTCATCATTGTCTAATCTTAAACTCATCTACCAAGTTTCTTAATGTCAGATACTATTGTTGCAGCTACTGTGTCAATCCATCTCGTCAAAGGTCTTTCTCTTTTTTGCTGACCCTCTACTTTACCAAACATGATATCCTTTTCCAGGGATTGGTTCCCCCTGATAAAATCTCCAAAGTAAGTGAGACAAAGTCTTGCCATCCTCCCTCTGAAGGAATATTCTGGCTGTACTTCTTCCAAAACAGATGTGTTCTTTCTTCTGGCAGTCTATGGTATAATCAATATTCTTTGCCAACACCATAATTCAAATGCACTGATTCTTCTTCGGTCTTCCTTATTCATTGTCCAGCTTTCACATGCATATGAGGCAACTGAAAATACCATGGCTTGGGTCAGACCCACCTTAGTCCTCAAGGTGACATTTTTGCTTTTTAATACTTTAAAGAGGTCTTTGGCAGAAGATTTGCCCAATGCAATACGTCATTTGATTTCTTGCTTGCTGTTTCCATGGGCGTTGATTGCGGATCCAAGTAAAATGAAATCCTTGACAACTTCAATATTTTCTCCATTTGTCCTGATGTTGTTTATTGGTCCAGTTTTGAGGGTTTTGGTTTTCTTTATGTCAAAGTATAATCCATACTGAAGGCTGTAGTCTTTGATATTCATCATTAAGTGCTTCAAGTCCTCTTTGCTTTCAGCAAGCAAGGTTGTGTTATCTGCATATTGCAGGTTGTTAATAAGTCTTCCTCCAACCCTGATGCCCCATTCCTCTTCATATACTCCAGCTTCTCAGATTTTTGCTCAGCATACAGATTGAATAAATATGGTAAAAGGATACAACCCTGACGCACACCTTTCCTAACTTTAAACCACGCAGTATCCTCTTGTTCTGTTCAAACGACTGCCTCTTGGTCTACGTACAGGTTCCTCATGAGCACAAGTAAGTGTTCTGGAACTCCCATTCTTCTCAATGTTAGCCATAATTTTTTATGATCCACACAGTTGAATGCCTTTGCATAGTCAATAAAACACAGGTAAACATGTTTCTGGTAGTCTCTGCTTTCGGCCAAGATCCATCTAACACTGGCAGTGATATCCCTGTTACACATCCTCTTATGAATCTGGCTTGAATTTTGGGCAGTTCCCTGTCGATGTACTGCTGCAACCATTTTTGAATTATCTTCAGCAAAATTTTACTTGTGTGTGATATTAATGATATTGTTTGATAATTTCCGTATTCTGTTGGATCACCTTTCTTTGGAATGGGCACATATATCGATCTCCTCTAGTGGGTTGGCCAACTAGCTGTCTTTCAAACTTCTTGGCATAGACAAGTAAGCACTTCCAGCATTGTATCCATTTGCTGAAACATCTCAATTGGTATTCTATCAATTCCTGGAAGCTTGTTTTGCGCCAATGCCTTCAGTGCAGCTTGGACTTCTTCCTTCATTACCATCAGTTCCTGACCACATGCTACCTCCTGAAATGGTTGAACACTGACCAGTTCTCTTTGGAATAGTGACTCTGTATATTCCTTCCATCTTCTTTTGATGCTTTCTGCATCATTTAACATTTTGACCATGTTGTTGCTGTTGTTAGGTACCATCAAGTTGGTTCCAACTCATAGTGACCCTATGTACAACAGAACAGAACACTGGCCAGTCCTGTGCCATCCTCACAATCGCTGCTATGTCTGAGCTCATTGTTACAACCACTGTGTTAATCCATCTCATTGAGGGTCTTCCTCTTCTTCGCTGACCTGCTACTTTACCAAGCATGATGTCCTTCTCCAGGGACTGGTCCCTCCTAATCACATGTCCAAAGTATGTAAGACGAAGTCTTGCAATCCTAGCTTTTAAGGAGCATTCCAGCCGTACCTCTTCCAAGACAGATTTGTTTGTTCTGCTGACAGTCTATGGTATATTCAATATTCTATGCCAACACCATAATTCAACTGTTATCAATTCTTCAGTCTTCCTTATTCACTGTCCAGCTTTCGCATGCATATGAAGCAACTGAAAATTTTGCCCATAGAATCCTTAATATTGCAACTCAACACTTCAATTTTCTTTTCAGTTCTTTCAGCTTGAGAAATGCTGAGCATGTTCTTCCTTTTTGGTTTCTAACTCCAAGTCTCTGAACATTTCATTATAATACTTTACTTTGTCTTCTTGAGCCCTTTGAAATCTTCTGCTCAGCTCTTTTATCATTTCTTCTGCTTAGCTACACTGATGTCATTCCACAATTTGTCTGGTCTTCAGTCATTAGTGTTAATGTGTCAAATCTATTCTTGAGATGTCTCTATATTCAGGTGGGATATATTCAAGGTCGTAATTTGGCTCTTGTGGACTTGTTTTAATTTTCTTCAGCTTCAACTTGAACTTGCATATGAACAACTGATGGTCTGTTCCATGTCGGCCCCTGGCCTTGTTCTGACTGATGATATCGAGCTTCTCCATCGTCTCTTTCCACAGATGTAGTCGATTTGATTCCTGTGTATTCCATCTGGCAACATTCATGTGTATAGTTGCCGTTTACACTGATTAAAAAAAAAAAGTTATTTCCAATGAACAGGTCATTGGTCTTGCAAAATTCTATCACACGATCTCCAGTGTCGTTTCTAACACCAAGGCCTTATTTTCCAACTACTGATCTTTCTTCGCTTCCAACTTTTGCATTCCAATCACCAGCAATTGTCAATGCATCTTGACTGCTTGTCTGATCAATCTCAGACTGCAGAAGTTGGTAAAAATCTTCAGATTTCTTCATCTTTGGCATTAGTG